CAGGTTGAAAGCTTTACCTATTTATTTGTTGTGGTGGATTGCAAATGAAAGAGTTCAGTTTTAGTAAACCAAAAAAAATAAAAAAAGCCACTTTTTCTAGTGAATTCATCGTATGGAATGGGTTTAGATCTATTGCAGCTTTGTGAATGTAATGGACAGTAAGATCATCTTCTGGCTGGGTCATTGATTTCAATGGGCTGGGGATCAGGCCCACTGACTGACAACTCAGGGTTGTCAAGAATCACTTAGAGTTCCAGGGGTAACACCTGTATCTAGCAAGTTTACATGTAATGTATTGTCCTTCTGGAACATGTGCCATAACTATAAGTTACATGTCCACATTTGCACTACAGATGTTCTTCTTCTAAGACTGTACTTGTCAGCATCTTTATTGATAACTTACCTTGTGAATTTTTGACCAAAAAAAAAAAGAATATTACAATGTTTCATAATTTATTTTGTCTGTCTAGTTTTCTTTTTGTAATACATATGTACAGGTGGTTTGACTTTTAAACAGAGCTGTATAAAGATAATTCTGATTGCATTGAAAACAGGTTAGTGGTATGCATACAATATCGAATTTACACACTATCTCAGTGGATTGAAATGTTTTATACTGTGGATTAATGAGGGACCTTTTTGATGTGAATTTGATTTGTGAACCAGGAATTCTGAGTTATAGTGTAAAGTTGTTGTATAAAACATCATTTTTATTTTCCAGTGACCGTTTTTGTACAAAGGAATTGCTGAGCTACTGTATGACTGTCATTGGAATTGTATGGTACATTTCATAGCATGGTAGTACACAGAACTTATGCTGTTTGGCACGTCTCTAACATAACATTACTCATCCATCCTCAGAAATATGAAACTTGTACAGTAGATCAGCTGCATTTGAATTAAGGATCACTGCAAATACTAGAGATCCCAATATTGTCCAATTACTGGCATTCTTAATGAACAGATTTGAAATCATCCAAATACATTTCTACCTATTTTCAATAGGATCACAGAGCACTTGTTGAGAGTAAAAATAAGATTCTGTTCAATTACTATTGGGGCTACTTATAGTAGTAACAATTCTTGTGGTAAAAAGTACACATTTTTGAGGTACAAGTATAAATAGCAATGTCTCAATCATAGCATACATTGCATATTAAAATGGTTTGAATTTTCTCTGTCTTCTATAGTCTTGAATCTAAGCTTTGACTAATTTATGAGACTGATTAGTTCTGCAAATCTGACTGTACACTCTTAGACTTTTCACATTTGGACCTTTGCACAATAAATGTTACGTTACCTTAAGTATCTGGTTTAATGAGGGTGTTCATGTATATGGTACTATCCAGCAGAGGGTTTTCTCTGTCTGCAAATTTAAATGAACTATATTGTATATGTACTTGTAAAAATGTGTTAAATCTATATTTAAAAAAATTTAAACATTGTTAAATAAATTCATGAGAACACTTAATTCTGTCTAACGAATACTGAACTTTTACTTTACAAAAATAGTTTTCATTTTGTTGACTGTATTTCCTTTCTTCATAGCAGCCATAAAGCCCTCATACATATTTTGACATAAAATAATACATGTCGATATTATAAATGAACTGATTTGTTTAGTGGTGGATAAACTGGTGATAAGAGGGACAGAGGTCTCAGTGACAGTGCTATAATGCTAAATGTAAATCCTTTGTCCTTAATCTTGAAATCTTTAGTGAGCATTGATCTGTATCACAAAACTACCAGACAATTTGGCACATCTGAAACTTAGCCAAGAGGGTCCTAGGACTGGAATAGTAAAGGTATTGCAGTTCAGAGTGGAAGAATTTTTGGAAGAGTTGTTTGGGGAAGCTTGGATAGCCCTTGCCTGCAGTATGGATACCCCTGATTCAGGAAAACACTGGAGCATATACTTGATTCCTATTGACTTCAATGGAATTAAGCACATGTTTAAGTTAAGCATGTGGTTAGTGCTTCCCTGAATTGGGGCCCATATCTGGCCCGAACTAGTGTCTATTAAAACAACAAGGAGTCCGGTGGCACCTTAAAGACTAACAGATTTATTTGGGCATAAGCTTTCGTGGGTAAAAAAACCTCACGTCTTCAGATGCAACTTTACCCACGAAAGCTTATGCCCGAATAAATCTGTTAGCCTTTAAGGTGCCACCGGACTCCTTGTTGTTTTTGTGGGTACAGACGAACACGGCTACCCCCTGATACTTAGTGTCTATTAGTAATTCATTTGCATATAACGCCACTGATGTTTGCAGCATTTCATAGATACAGCCGGCCAAAATTACAGTGACTGGTGCTTTTCAGAAACGAGGCTAAAATTAGCTCAATTTAGAGAAATACAGCAGCTGCATTTAAAGAATAGCTGGAGGCAATATTTTGCTTTCTGCCATAGCGTGGAGCTATGGTTACCCCCATATGAAGTATTCATTTGTTTCATCCGCTCCAGCATAGCTGTGTCATGCTGCTGTAAGTGACAAGAAGGTGGCAGTCAAGCTCCCTTTTGAACACTGCTGAAGGGGGAGGGGAGACGCCAGATAGCAAGTTATTCAGCATCCCCTGAATGTGCCCTTTGATCCATGCCATGCCAGGATTGCTGTGGGATTACTGTATTGGGGGAGTAACACATGATGCTTTCCCAAGGCTCTTCACTAGACAGCCTGCGGCAGAGACCTTGTGAAATGTGCATGAGCCATAAGCGTCCAAGTGATACAGTGGACATAAAGAAGTCTTATTGACCGTGGGTCCCCTCCCCCGCTAATATTCTGCCTTCGTGAGGGAAGGAAGCCGGGATGGCGGATGGTCATGCAAATCAAGGAGTATTCCTTGGGCAAGCATTTTCTGTCATGCTTTGACCAACGCCCAAAGTAGAGCTGTGTGACAAAGCTTGTACGTCACCAGCATGTGCCAATCACCGTCCTGTAGAAGTGACAGCACAGCCTATGGAATTTTATAGAAATCACTGTTTTTCAGTGGAAACAAGGAGACAGGAGTTAGTGATGATCTTCTTTAAACTTACCCTCAACTATATTTATTTCATTTCCCTTGAATTTGGGAAATACAAGTGCATAGATAAACAAATATGCAATTAACCAAGTGAATCAGATCAAAATTTGCTACACCTCTGTAGAGGTCTCAGAAGGCTCTGTTTAGTTTAGCTCCATCAGTTCCTAAAGCAAATCTCTCTCTGCCTCTTATGGGAAGGGGGCACCCTGGATGGACTCATGAGGCCTTCTACAGGACCCAGGAAAGCTACGGCCATTTCCGCTGTCCAGGGAGAAGAGAGCTGTGAAGGGACACCGTGGAGCTGAGGTGAGCAGGTCAGGAAGGTGGCCAGTTGACGTACAAATAACATGGGGGTTGGTGGGTCCTGTAGCCCAAAGCAACACAAAGATAGGAGCAGCAGGTTGCATCCACCAATGTACCACGCACCATGGAATGGCTTTGCTACTGTTACGACTTAAGCCCTGTCCTCTCTGAGTGTGCAGTAGAGCCCTTTCGCTGAATCAAGTATTAGTTTAGATATCTAAACTACCAAGAAAACGATGCAAACCTCTGGATGCATTCATCCCACATCTCAACTCAGTGCGAGTTCTGTAGGGGATGGTTTTGCTACAACTGAAATGTGCTGCCACACCAAAGATTTCAGCCCTAATGATAGAGTTGTATTTAGTTCCTGTAACCATAAGCAACTAATACTTCCAGCAAAAATTGAATCCCACACTTAGAATGTGCATTACTTTATTAGACAAGCACTTGCTCAACACAAGGCTTTGTTTTATTCTAACAGCCAGTGACTCGGCAGCATTTGTCTGCTTTTTCCAGTTAAGTAGCTAAGGATATTCTGATAGCAATGAGGAGGTGAATGTGGAGGCTACAAAAGTGGGTGGAACTTGATAAATTGTTACCCAAATTTTCACTTTCTCTTCGTATGGCTGAGCATACGATGCTTCAAAATGTCAGAGTCTAAAGGACAATATTTTTAGCCCTCTTAGGTATTCCATCGTCAGGTTTATCTATTAAAGCTTTTAGTGTTAGAATTAACCAGTGATGCCCAAAGCACAATAATGTCTTAATACTGTAAGTGCCGTGAGTCAGGGGAAGATCAAAGGGATATGACACGAGACTGGAGAAAGGTGTTTATGTTGCATGAATCGATTGAGTGTATTGTGCAAGAGCCTGATTTATTCGAGTGGCAAAGCTATCGTTCATTTTAATAGGAACAGCAACAGACCGTATAGACCTAATCCACTGCCCCCTGGAATAACTAGAGGACTCCTACTAGTGGGCAGTAGATCAGGCAGTAAAGCCCAAATCCTCAGAGGCACCTAACTCCCATTGTTTTCAATAGGCGTTAGGTGCCTAAATACCGCTGAGAACCTGGGCCTTAGTGAATTAAAATGTTTTTAGGGTTAAAATCCCATTGAATACAAAGTCCAGATTACTTGCTTTCCCATTGGAATGACATCTATTCTCAAATACTTACAATCCTCCTTGTTCTATCATTTATGGGTATGAGCTTTAAAAATATCAGGCCAGTTCTTCCCATGGTATAAATAAATGTGCATGGGTCCATTGAAGTTAATGGAGTGACATCAGTTTACACTAGCAGAGGATCTGGTCGCTAGTTTTAATTAACTCTGAATAATACAATGAACGTTAAGTTATGGTGATAGATGCCAAACAATTATCTTTTCATAACCTTGAATCAAGTCTCGGCAGAAATCAGTATCACAAATCCTGCAGCTACTTTCACGTGAGTTTAATAGGTCTGTCCTTTCAGGTTATTTTACATCATGAGAACCAGTGTTACACGTTAATAAATCTCCTCTGCTACAAACACGCGACACTCAGTGACTTCGAAGGTAGTGGCATGCTCATGAATGAGGGTAGAATTTGGCCATTTACAATGAATGCATTTTTTTCCTTTTTAACCACATCTACTCTCAACTCCCTGTTTAAATATTTATCTTCAAAGAGAAAAATTGATTCTATTAAAATTGTTTATTAAAATGCAACATTTTAAGAAAAACAAATTAGGGTTTTTTTACACTTGCCAACATCTCCTAATCAGGCAATCCACAGAAAAGCAATAGAAAGGTTTAGCTCTATGTTGATTAGCCTCTTGTTTTATCTTTTATCCATCTGACGTACTTTGATACTCTGGTGTAGATACCATATTTGCCCTCCAACGCACACTCTTCCCCCCAGCTGGTTATTCCAGTTAGAAACCAGGTACCTTCTATTTCTGTGGTATGAGGGCCCCCGCTGTCCCCTTCACACGTATCTTTAGCCTCTGAATGGTAACCCGCACAGAACATATTCTGTAAGATAGAAAACCTGCTGCTTCTCATGCACGTTGCACGGTCAACGAATGGGACTTTCAGAACCTGTAGGACTGTGGCCACCCTTCCCCGGAACAGCTGGCTCCCCCAGCCACTCACGGTGCCAGTTCCATGTTTGAGGAGGCTGTTGGTGAATTCCTTGCTGGCGATGCAAATGGGGGTGACGTAGCTGTTGATCTCCAGCGGGGTCCCAAGCTCTAGCAGTGCTATGTCATTATGGTGCTTGTTTTGGCTGGCATTATAGGTGGGATGAGGAAAGATGTTCACCACTTGGCGATATTGCTCGGTACCGTCATTGACTTCCGTGTTGTGTTCCCCTGGTGAAATAAATGTGGTGCTTTTTACAATTACAAGCAACCTGTGGGTGACTAAATACACTATCAGGGTTAGTAACTACACATACAACTGATACTTTTAGTGTCACTAAGGCTCAGCTGGGAACCAAAATGTCATAAGTTCAAATCCCACCCTGGGAATTGGCTCAGACCCAGTGGTGATAGTGCACCGCAGTACGAGGAGATATTAGGTGTGCCGTCTGTTGGATGAGACAAGGTTCACTGTGCGTGTTACTGTATAATCTATTTGTTGCTATGTGTTTGTGTCACTGCAGTCTATTAACAGATCTCACTAAGGCCCTAATCCTGCAAAGGGAGAGGTTGGCAAAAACTTGCCAACTGCAGAACTGAGGCCAAAGTGTGTGATGATCTCCTCATCTAGGGTCTGATCCTGCCCCCTTTTGAAAGTGACTTCACTGGAAGCAGGATCAGATCCCCTAGTGTCTGCCCTACAAGGAGTAGGAAACCAAATACCAGTGATAGCTCGTAAGTAGTTTCCTTATGCTATGTGAGAGAGTCCCGTGCTGCAGAGCAGGTTATGAGTTATGTCCCTTATGGTGCAAACGTAACCCATTGATGAGTGTGTGCTATAGGCTCCCTTCTGTGCCGATCCCGGGAGGCGATGAATTGGTACAGTCCCCAAATCCAGAGCCTGGGCTCTTTTCTTCAAGCTGCAGCAGCTCATACTTTTAGCTCTAGAGGTGCCTGGTGCGATGACCACTCTCTTGAGGTGACAGACCAGGGACTGCAATGAGCTGCTATGGTCTGAGATAATGCTCTATAGCTGAGGGCTGTAACAACTCATATCCTTTGTGGAACCTGCAACACACACGCACCAGTGGGTTACACATACATCAAGTTTAGCTGACCACGTTGAATGATGTATCAGACCAGAGACGGTGGCCGCCCAGCTAAAGATCCAATAGTACTGTGTTAAAAAACACACACAAAAACCCCCCCAAACCAGTTGGGGGTAACCCTGGCCTCATAGCCAAAATGTTCGGTTGGGAAATAGGGGATGGTGATCAAAGTTTTGTAGTGCTTGGGATAACAGAAGTTTGGCGATTCTTTGCAGAGTTGTAAGGGGGAGCGTTGTCCCTGGATATTACAAAGTCTCCCGAACCAAGAATATATTTTAAAACAGACCCCTTATTAGCAAACAATACTCCAGATCCACAGCAACCAGCAGCCATTCTGTATCTTTGCCAGAAGGACCGCGCCCCCCATAGAGTTAGATGCAGGTAGTTGTTGCCAGCAACTGGAATATTAGGCCCTACAAAGCAAGTAGATGCAAAGTCTCTGTTCCAAAGCCCGTCTTTCCCAGCGCCTGCAGATCCCCCTCCCCCAGCTTCCTACACTTTCCTCTGCTGAGGATAAAAATCAACTGCAGGCGGTTTGCTGTTTAGGGCTATTGCAGCTGATTTTTTGGCAGGCTTATCCCTTCCTTAAAGAATTTTTCTAGACAAAAAAGGGGGAATTTGTCAAGACTTCAGGTGTTTCGAGGCTGCACCGCGTTAAGATTTATCAGAGAAGTCCTTTCCTTCCCAAAGGAAAGTCGACCTGCTCAGGCAGCTTGCTAACTAGCTCTGCAAGGAAACCAGAAGCAAAATCACTTCCCCCCCTACTGTGACCAACATCCTAAATCTGCAGGTAACTAGGGTGGGATGGAGGGGAATCCTGAGACCTGCTCAATAGCTTGTCACAAGCCACCCACTTCTCTTTTCTGTGGCCCAAAGTGGGTCGGGAACGTTTAGCCTCTGCCTCAATCTTCCTACGAGCTTTGCTGCAGTCTCTAGAATCTGAGCTGTTCTGTCTGTTGTATTCGCAGTGCTTCTGCTTTTAACAGTTTATTGGCTTCCTGCTGAACGTGCCACGAGAGAGCCTGAAGTCAGACCATCGGTTAGCTCTCTGTGTTCTTGTTAATGGTATTGTCTGACTGGCAGCTTTGCTCATTACACTGTTTCTGAGCCACCCTCATTGTGTGTGTGTGTGGGGGGGTGTGGGTGTGTTTTCAGTGCATTAGGATATGAGATATAAATGAGGGAGTAGGGATGTCTTTTCAGATGACATTACTAAGCTGTAAAAATAAGACACATATGGGGGAGACTTTGAGGGTTTTTTTTTCCTATTGGTTTTTCTTATTGATATTGCTGCATAATTGTTGCGGGACAGCCTGAATATATGCCCTATGTGGGGGGTAATTTTAACGCCTTTATTTTTGTTTGCTAAATATTTCAAGGGGGCGCTATTGTGCTATATTTAAAGCTAGGTGTTTGGCATGGATGGAGGGGAAAGTGCAAGGTGCTTGATGTGAAAACATCAAGTCACTGTGAAAACCTGCAACCCCAGATTTTTTTCCCTCTTTACTTGGTACCTGTCAATAAAATCCACTCCAGTAAAACCCAGCTGTGCTCCTGAACAATCATCCTCTATCCCAATCGGAGGGGTGCGAAACATTTGTGATGAAATTAGAACTGGATGAACTTGCAAGAAAATGCAAACCCAGAAACAGACCCATTTCCAAGCAAAAAATGGGCCCTTCTAACGTGAAACTGTTTCCGCTGTATGAAGAGCAGAAGTTGTGTATTCACAGTTTAACAGATACGCTCTATCACCCTTGTGAACTTTCAGGGAGGCAAAACTGGTTGAAAGTAAATGGTAGAAAATGTGGCACTCAACCTTCTGCAGACCCTGATCCTGTGCAGGTGCAGCCTGTACTGGCATGGAGCTCTGCTGAAATCAGTCCCAGGGGCTTTTTGTCTTAAGCCTTTTTGAGAATCCCACTCTTAATGTCTGAGTTGGTCCAAATTCAGTGACAATTATAAATATACCCGGATCACCTAACTTTTAGTCTGGGTGTGTTGCATGTTTCAATTGAATCTGTTGTTATTGGCGGCTGCTACTAACTAGATTTGTGTCCCGTGTGCTCAGCAGTTATAATATGAAATAGACACTTCATAAACAACTTGAGGAAACTGACTTGTGAACCATCACCTTTTTACCCTTGCCAAATCCCTTGCCTTAGTTATGGGGCCCTGCGTTGAATTATCTTCAGGTTTCCCATAGGCAATCACTAAAAGCTGAGTAGCTGGCAGGGACGGGGACAGCGGGTTGAGGGGGGAAATAGCATTGGTAAAGATGCAATGAAGTCATTTTGTGGATGTGTCAGTTTTGGCCTGTCTACACCTCACAGTTCCTCACATACAAGTTCAGTTCTCTACTTCAGTCCATAATTTCTACTTTCTACAGAATTTCAGTCTTTACAGGATCCATTTCTGCTTCTGCTGCAGGATCATTTGGATCATTGAGCCCTCAATTAACTTTCAGATCTGTGTGACGTTTGGCCAATGAACAGTTATTTTTATGAAAGTTTAAGGCCTGACAACAATGGAAGCAGAAATGCAGTTTTTAGCCGCCGGCAAGACTCTAGTTGGTCAATGCATTTGGAGCTGTGCGGCACACTGCCACCGATAGTCCTGTATTAGTCCCATACGCTTTATAGCCACAAACGCGGATATCCGCAGAGCATTTGTGTGGATGGGATGTGCATACAGATTTTGTATCCACGCAGGGCTCTGTTTGTCAGGTATTTCATGTTTTGTGTCAGCTAAGGCTTCTGAGGGGAGACTTGTCATATTCTGAGTGGTGGTTTTATGGATTTTTGTTTCACTAAAGTGAGACCCAAAAACTCCTCCCTTTTAGGCCCTGGTTGTTGGGAGCCATGATCCTGGAGACAACACTAAAGCCACCTGAGCTTACTATTCTAATTTACTATGGGCCAGATTTTCAGTTGGCGTAAACTGCTATAGCTCCATTGAAGTCAGTTGACTTTAATGGAGCTAAGCCAATTTATACTAGCTAAGGACCTGGCCCTACATCTTTGTTTTCTATAGTCAGTGGACACCTTAAAGCCTGTTACATTACAACTCTAGCTGTACCGTGGCACAGTTGTCTGGCCTGGACAGAGGCATCCATGTTCTAATACAGTTTGTACGTACAGCTGGAGTGGGATAATGTGGCTATGAGACTGTAACACAACTCTTCTTCCCTACCTGCCAAAAAACATGTTGTCCCATCAACCTAACAAACAAACCCTGCTGGAATATGGATGCCAGTCACAGGTCTAGGGGAAGCTTTGCCATGATAAACATGTTCATAAACTGGATAGCGCCAATTTTATTTAGCATGCCTAACTGAATATCCACTAATGCATTCAGACTTCCTTTTGCTTACCTGCCACGACAGTAATCTGTGCGCCAGGCTCAATGCAGTGCGCTGCTGTTACGATCCATTTTTCATTGACAATAGACCCTCCGCAGAATCCTACTTCCTTACTATTCTGCAAATGAACCTACGGAGAAAGAAATCCAACCTTGCGTCCCACACAAACCCGTAATGAAGAGAAATCAAACATCATAGGTATATTAAGGGAGCGGACAAAGGGTGAGGAACAGCCACTGCTAAATGGTACATGCAAAATTGACACTGTGAAAGCAACCACCCACTTTCCCTCATGCTCAAAGACAATTTCTGAGGAGTTCCTGAGCATCCTTCCTCCCCTCTTGAGGTATTTCTGTCCCGTCCTGCTGGTTTGACCACTTTTCACAGGACAACCTTACCAATGGCTAAATACCATCGCCCATCCCTCCTCTGGCTAGGTCATGACAAGGGGAAACCAATCTAACACAACGTGAAGTTCAACTCCCCTCACAGTCATTCCAGACAGACTCCTGAACAGGTTATATTGGCCACCAGTGAGAACAGTGGCAAGGGACCAGCTCCTCTGCTATCTTAAGGCAGCTAGGTGCTGCGCCAGTGGTAGCCAGGGGACACAGGCCTACATGTTTTACATTCCAAAACTTCATTTCAAATTAAATATGCAAACTTATTGGGCACAATTAATTTAGAAGAGGGATTTTCCAACCATGTTGTTCCTTAAATACCACCCGATCGCTACTAGAGATCAGCTTCCTCCTGTAAGTGTACCTGCTGCCTCTTTAGCCCCGAGAAGCAGAATTTTAAGCATGAGAGATCAATCCTTATGACTAAGAGAAAGAAGCCTACAAACTACAAGAGGTTTGCACCGAACAGGATCTGCTCTACAATTAAAGATCAATACTTTGTATCTCGCAGGTCTCTGTTAATAAAGCACAGTATCTATTTGTACAGATGAAAGATAAATGTCCCTGTTAATTCCAACCATGTTTTAGTTTGGCAAGAGATATCTCTAAGTAAGTTAATTGTAGACTTGAAGGTACCTGGCCACTGGAGGGCAGCTATAGATTGAAAATTACAACACTAAACCAGCTACTTAAATATCAGGCTGCAAAAGTATGAACATAATTTTAAAAAAGTATTTGCTACTGATTTGAGATGTGACCCAAACTAATCTCCAGATCCAACTGTCCCCAAGATCTGAGACAGTTTAGATGAAGGTCTGAATTCTGTGTCTTGGGCCCATGTCCATTAGCAATGTCTTAGATTTCAAGTGACGTTAGAGGCCTTCTCTAACATTAATCAGGCTGTTTGTGCCAGTCCATGACGGAAGTTACAGCACCATAAATTCTTGCCCAGAGCTGGTGTAGTGGTGCATGTTGTTAGTCATTCTGGGCTACCTTTTCCCTGTGTCCTTGTCTGTCTCAAGTAGACCAGCCCAGGTGTGGGGTTTTCTGCCCGAAGTTATCCATTGCAGCCACTAGAGAGGCTTCTCCTTCAGCTGCCAGGAGTGCCGCCTTTCTTGTGCTCTCCGGCTATCTTCCTGCACGGAGTGATTCACTCACTCTTTAGAAACCATCCCTCAACAAGAACGCCGCACAGAAACGCGTGAGGGTGTTGGAGAGAAGAGAATATTGACCAGAGAAAGTTGGGGTGGTGGGGGGGGGGGGGGGGGGGGGGGGGGGGGAAGGACAAAGGGGGAGAAAAATAGGTGGATCCAGAAGGCAACTCCAC